ACAAGTCGAATCTATCCATTGACAAATTTAATTTTATCTTGAAATACTTACGCATCCATATAGATTTAAATATGGAGTAGTACAATAATCATTTGGCGAGCTTTAAACACAATTTTTTGTTATTTCATCATATTTACACATTTCAAGAGGTTTAGCAATTGCTTAACAAACATTTCCATTCACTTATAATTTAATGAAGTGATTGCAATTTAGATCTTGATTTATCTCTACATTTTAGCAACTTTATCCATTCCATTAACATAATTAACCTTTTGTTTTAATATTAATACAAGCAGCTTAATTTAATTATGATTAACATTGATAATTACTTAGATCATCTTCTGATAAAGTTTAACAAAAACCTTAATTAAAAGTACAGTATTAGTTTTTAATAGATAAACATGCAGATTTTGTTAATCCAGGAGTATCACATTTTAATTATTGCAATTATTTTTAATTTATTTCATTACATCTTTAATTTATGAAATCAAACATACAAAGACCCTCTTATTCAGCACAAACATTAACGTTTACATCATATATTTCATTGCATTCAAGTTTTTAATCAAATTTAAAAGTAATGCATTCATTTTCTTTCCATTAACAGAACAAATTTGGTTTTATAATAGATAAACATGCTAGTTTGTTTACTTTTTAAGTACATTCTGTTATTTCTGAAGGTTCTATGTTTTTACATTAATTATTATGAAATAAACCTAATATAATCTGTAAAATATTACACATTTCTGATTCCGTCTAAATAGATAAACATCCTAATTGATTCAAACCCAAAGTTGAACATTTTAATTCTTTAAATTAAATGTAATTAATTGAAACACATTTATAATCTCCTTAAGGTCCTGAATTCATACCTTTATTATTTAAATGAAATACAAGGATGTTTTTGATATTTAGCACAGAATTATGGAGTAACAGGATATGGATATATTTCCTCTTTAGAATAATCTGAAAATATTATTTTTTAAGAATCTTCGCAATAATTAACATTCCAAAAACAATCTTTATTTATTACACTTAAACAAGCATATTTTGAATATGAATTATCACAACCTAAATTTTTCAAATGGAAGATGTTAACTTCTCTGCATCCATTTTAAAATATACCTATATATATATTATATTCTACATCGTTATTCAATATTACCACTCCCAGTTAATTAATTAATACAAGCATTCCGATTGAGATTATAAGAACATCCTAAATTTTAATTCTATATCTCCTGGCATTGATTCATAAATTCATCATACATGCCTATCATTAAATTATAAATTACAGTTAGAATCAGTTGTTAATAAAATACAGGCAATTGCATCATATTGATTAATACTACAGTTGCATTAGCAGTATTATATAGATAATACAATTATCAAAATTTGTTTTAACATTATTTCTTAAATAATTATTATTATAAATGAAAAAACATTTAAAAAAAATCTTATTATTTTAATTCTCTTTCAACTAAATAATTTTATTGTTTATCACTTTTGAATAAATTTAATATCCATCTTTTATAATACTTCAAGAATTGACTAAATGGAGATTCAATTTATATAAAAAAATCACAAAATTTTATAATCATTCGTTAATTAAGTTTTGATTAATCTATTCTCACTTTTTTTAGCATTTATATTAGGATTTACATGAATGTCTAACTATTTAGTTTTAAACATTTTTTTATATTTCATTTCTTTTTTTCGTTTATAAAATATTATTATTATTCATTTTTTAGATTCCTCATTATGAATTATCTGTTTTTATCAATCATTTTATAAAAACTGTTATATCACATATTTGAAAAAATTACAATACAAAAATTTTTGTAATTATCTAAGATTATTAATGAATTTCTATTTATTAGAGCATAAATTTAAATAGTATCATGATGGATCATAAAAAAATTTTATTTTTTTATTTTAACAAATTTATATATGAATATCTAATTCAAACTAAATAATATTAATTATGATTTATAAAAGTTTGATTCCATGTCTTACTTGATATTTATCATATCAAAAGGCTTTAAGGATGTTTCTTCTAATACTATTAGAATATTTTCAAAATTCTTAGACTGAGAAACTAGGTTAAATTTAATTTTCACCATCTCATTAACTTCATTTTCAAATTAATAGATCCTGATTTTCTAGTGTAAGATTATTATTGTAGAATATCTATTCAGTATTGACAAAAATCAATAAATCGAATATGTATAATTTAATGGAAAATTATTCTCTAAAAAGGATTTAATTTACTAAATATGCATGAAATGGTTTAATATACACTGTGGCACTAAAAATTAAGAGAAAAATCACCATTAAATTTATTAAGCATTTACTTTGAGAAATTCCTTAATAGAATAACTATTAAATATAAATACAATGGCTTAGGGATTATCTCTTGATTATAAAAATATATTTATGTTTTAAATATTAATATAATATATATATATAATAAATTTCAAATATTCCTCAATCATCACTCATCAATAGACAAGTACCACTGAGAATCCATTTTGAAACATCTGAATCTTCATTTTCCATATTAAGATTTGCTGTAAATACAAATGTAGGTCCTCTCATTGATGTCACATACACTGGACATTAATATTATCCAATCTTCTTCTTTTTATCAGCTGTCACAGCAATCACATTAACAACTGGTAATTTTGGATGTAATTCCTTCTATTTCTATTCTATTAAATATCCTTCTTATCCTTAACCACCTAATTCCCAAGCAGCTCCTTCTAAATATAAACCATGGATAAAAGCACCAGTCTCAGCTGGAACAGTAACTTCTTCATGTCCTTTGGCACCTGTCACATTTGTTTATAAAACCATCTAAATAATATAAATAATAATATCTTACATCATCTAAAGGTAATCCTTATTCTCTAGCAGTCTTTTACATGATAGCAGTCAAAAATGACATAGGATTAAACAAATAACTAATACACAATGAAATAGGAGTAACCATTTCTTATGTCCAAACTGCTAATTAGTTTGTTCTTTCAATTAAATCATTGAACCAAGCAGCCAAACCTTTTCTTGAGAAATAAGCAAATTTCTCCCAGTTTGCAGGTACTTTATTGAATTGTAATGATAGAGATAATGCTTCCATTTAATCTGTGATATTCAATGCACCAGTTAAACCAAGTCTAAGATCTTCAAGTGATCTTCTGATTTCACCTAATAAAATATTCATTCTTTCACATTCTTATAAACATACAATTTGATCAGGTGTTTTTTCTGATGCTTTAGCTGTAACATCCATTAAATTAGTATCAGCAGGAGTTGTAGATTTTAATAATGTTAATTAAGTCATAACTCCATCATCTTTTTTACCTCCACCACCACTACTTGAACCACCTTAAACATCTAATATGGTACTGAATAGTGTTTCACATTATTAAGTTAAATAACCAATTTCAGCATTTGGATGCATACCAAACATTTATGGAGATTCAATTGGTAATTTCTTTTCAATGTATTCTTTATATTATTCATATTCAAATTTGGAAGGATCTGGTGATTTGAATCCTGGACCTAAATTAAAACCAGGTTATAATAATTCTGGTTTAATTAAGACTTTCAAATATGTAGCATTGGTTCTTCTGTCCCAATCATCTGTAATATGACCACCATACATAATTTCACCAAAAATATATTTCAAATCATCCCAAGGAACAACATCATATTTAGATAAATAATTATACAAGACATTAGCACAAATTGTTAGATCACCATCATTAAAATTATATATTCTTGACCAACCTTAAGCACCAAACTTCTTTCTACCTAAGACTAAGGAATGGAAATGACATAAAGCAAATAAACATGCTTTAAATTCTTATGGTTTCTTTTAACATTTATTTAAGAATTCTTAATCAAAGTGAGCATATGCTCTTCTAAGATTTGCCTTTAAATCTTATGGTGCTTCATTAGCAACCTTAATAGATGCTTATAAAATAGATTCTGGAATAATCTTCATTTCAGGTAGAGGAGGAGGTTCTGATGAAATAAAAACTCTAAAGTTTGGATGATGTTTAGCATAAACAGTTTCAAGATATCCTTCTAAACCATTAAGACCTGTTAACCAATTTTACATTAAATGTACATTTTGTAACATAATCCAATGTCCTTGTACAGCACAATCTAATAATGCTCTTCTAGCAATTTCTTCTTGACCTTGTCCCATAGAGATATTAATGAATTTTCCATTAAATGATGTAATATCATATTAGGCAGCCACTCTTTCAACTTCAGGTGTAGGATCTACTCCTGGGAACAATACAAAGAAAACAGGTGTAGTTGGAGCCATTTCATTAAATGTTTCAAAGATGGAGAATGGAGGTTATTCAACATACTTATCTCCCATCTCTTCAGCAACATAATTAGCCATAGCTGATGTTAATCTATCAGGTCTCATTGTTCTTAATAATAATAATCTATGGAATTTCTTAAGATGACTGAATGCCTTTGGTAAATCACTAATTTCAGCCTTTTCTTCATTATACCATTTCTTCCATTATAGATTGTCGACTTCTAAACTTTATCCAAGGCCATTAAATTCGGGAATTTATTCCAAAGCCTTACAACATGCCCATATAGTATCATTCAAAAATGATTTCAATGATTCAGGCATAGGAGGTGGATTTAATTCAATTTTACCAATAATTAAATGATCAACTTATTCTTTTGGTAATTTTCCTGCTTTCAAATTGATTCTTAATGTAAGCATAGTTGAAACAATCAATTTGTGTCTCTCAAATAATCCTCTTCTAGCATATTAGAAAGAAGTGTAGGTAATACTTTCAATCAATTAATTAACTCTCTTTCTCAAAGATTATGGAGTTAATTGATCATCATCAGCATTTTTCTTTTATTCTTCAACTTATTCTTCTTTTTTTTATTCTCCTTCTTCACCTTCTTTTGCTTCTCCACCTTCTTCTCCTTCACCTTATTAACCTTCTCCTTATTCTCCCTCTTATTATTCACCTTATTATTATTCTTCTTATTATTATTCTTATTATTATTCTTCTTATTATTCTTCTTATTATTCTTCTTCTCCTTCAGCTTCTTCTCCATCTTCTTATCCTTCCTTTTTCTTTCCAAGATCAATTTAAGCTGCTGCTTTTTCATCTAACATAACACCTGTTTGAACATGTTTATGCTCAGAAATCAAGTCAATAGCTCTATGAACAACAACCAAATAAGATTCTAATGAATACTTATAGAAAGAGTGAATTTTAGATAAATCTGTTAACAAGAAATAAATTAAAGCACCTCTAGCAGCTGCATTTCTATATTATTCTGATGTTTCATTAATTTTAGCTTCAGTGGCTTTAGCAATTTCTACTTTTTCAGCAATTTCTGTAGAGATCTTTTTAGAATATTCTAAATTTTCAATCAAAGCAATATCTTCTAAAATATCACCTTCAGCATTAGCTAATTTATATAATAATTCATCTTCTAATTCTTTTAATTTAATTTTAAATGAATTTTATTGTTATATTAATTCCACTTTCTTTTATGCCAAATCTGGTCTTTCTCTTCCAACTACTAATGTTAATAATTGATCACTTAAACCATCTTCAGTAACAGTGAAATTGATGAGAGTAGCCTCTGCTTATATTTCAGGAGGATAATGTGGATTACTCAATTATGTATGTAAAAATAATTAGAATTTTGGATGTACATCTAATTCTTAACCAGCAAATTTAATCTTCTTTTATCCTGAACTCTTGATTATAAATTATCTTGCAATAACAGGCATCAATACAGCATCAATTCTTTCATCCATATTTTCAATTAAACATGGATTACCTGATTAAATAGAGAACTCAATTTATCTATTTGTATTTTTTTAACCAATACGTAATATCTTCATATTATTTGCTGATTCCTTCTCCTTAATCCATTTGATTCCTTATAATTAAGGATCTATAATTAATGGATATCTTTCAGAGTTAGTTAAGATAGTACCATTTTCAGTACTTACAGCATCACTAGGTAATAATTATTGATTCCATTTGGCAATAGTACTTTCATCTGTTAATAATTTTACTGGATCAGCATTATTACTTAATGGAACCTTATTATCAATAATGAATTTAAGGAAATAATCCTTAATCATAACATCTCTAAATCTCTTGTTGAATGGACCAGCATAAGAGACAAAGGCAGCAGAAACCAATACATCTCCACTTAATAATTGTATCTAACCTTCTAACATTTTAATTGCTTAATCCCAACGTTCATTTTCACTTCCCAAAGCTTTAACTAAACGATTAGCAGAGTTAAGTCTCTTTTCACATTTAGCAGCTTAATCTAAGGCTGCTTATAATTGTGCCATAGCTTTATTATAATCAGCAGTCAAAACAGCCAATCTATCATTTAATTCTTTGACTTATTCTTAAACTTTAGCTAATTTTGCATTGGCATCATCTAATTATTAAATGGCTTCTTTAAGAGCTTGTCTTTTAGGTTCTACAATTTAGATGACATCATAATATTTGACAATATTAATAACCCAATCGCAAAGACCTCTAGCAGCTGATGATTTATTAGCCATAGTTTATGCATTGAAATGCTCTAAATTCAAATAGTTTTTCTTAACAAAATCAACGTTAGTTGGTGGTACTTGATTAGCATCAACAATATCTTTGAATCCCATAAGTTTATTTAACAATTCTTTAGGCTTTTGCATCATCTTTTATGCACTCTTCCAATCATAAGTTTTTGGTTTCTTAGATTTTGGATCAATTTCAATTTGTTCATTATAGAAACCAGCTAATAAGAAAATGGTAGCTGAGAATACATCAGGTACACCAGAAGGTGGAGTAGCAAAGTTTTTGGCAACTTAGAAATCTTTTTCACTCAAACCATTCAAGGCAGCTTTGGCTTATTCTACTAAGGGAATAGCAGCATCTAAATCAGCTTAAGTAGATGTCTTTTTCTATTCAACATCTTATTTAATAGTTGAACATTTAGCTTCTTCATCTGCAGCCTTTGCATTTTCTATTTCAGCCTTAGCCTTTTCTTTACCAACTACTTCAGCCACTTAATTGGCTTCATTTTTAATTTATTCAGCTTCTTATTGTTTTTCCTTAACTTGAACTTCAATTTCAGCCACTAAATCTTAAGTAGATCTTAATTTAATAAGACCATTTTCATATCTTTCCTTATTCTTTTCAAGCATTCCTTTCTTTGTCTTCAACATGAATATATATAATTTAATTAATTCTAAGAATGATTTAGGTGTAGTATAAACATATCTTCTTTCTTATTCTAACAATTTAACTGATAAATCATTAACTAATTTGAATGAGAATGGCATAAATTTAACAATAGCTTCTCTAACTTAATCTGTAGGTACATCTATATCTTTTAAGAATTATTAAGCAACATTATAGAGTGCATCTTAAGGCCATGGTTAGAACCAATCAATAACAGTAGAATTGACAAGAGCAGGGAATTGACGAGCTCTTTTACGTAATGATTCACCTACTGGTGAGAAACACAATGTCATATGTAAATTTTATCTTACTTTATCAATAAACCATCCCCAACATGAATCTCTTGTATCTGGTCTACCATCAGCTTTAACTTTAGGTCTGATTTGATTAATCAAAACTTCCTTTTCATCTGAATTATAGAGTTCTGCTACTTCTCCTGAAGATAATAAATCATTGATATAAGTTAAGAATCTTTCACTTGTTATCTAACCTTCATTGAATAAGAACATAATAGCTTCATCCCTAACACCTGATTTTTAGTAAAGTAATTACAAATCACCTCTTAAATCATTCATACCATAATTGCTTGATATAGTAATCATGAATAGAGTATATGTCATGATAAATGCAGCCAATTTAGTTAATGATTATTTACCACTACCTCCTACTCCTACTAATAATGAATGTCCACCTGGTGGTAACACTATTCTTGTGATTCTACATACATGTTTAAGTGCATCTTCAAACAATACTAATCCCATATAAGCAAAGTTATCATTATATTCTTTTAATGCTTCAGTGATTACTGGTTCTAATTTATCATTAGGCATTTAATCATAAAATCTATCTCCTCCTATACCAGCTAAGAAGTTACAGAAGATTAAATTTTCAGGATTATCTTTGGCAAAGAATCTACTGAAATTAAATTTGGTGAATTATTTCTTTAACAAATCAAACATTAATGCTTTATATGTATTAAGATTATCCATTGATACTAATCTATCACCATATGTTCTTTCAGATTCATGAACCCATAATCTAATTAATTTATCTGAATCAATAAATTTAGCAGGATCTGCTAATAACAATCCTTAAATAACATTTGAAATATGTCTAAGATTGAATTCATAATGGAAATTTATGGCTGTTTTTCTGAAATTCTAAATAACACTAGTATGTAATTATAAAGCAGCTTTAATAATTGCAGGTCCATTTTCAGAAACAGCTGGTTTAAATCTCTTAAGATGTCCTGATAAGAAAGTATTATAAATTAAGAACAAACTTTCATTATCAGGAATAGGAATGGAAACAGTCCAAAAATGTCTTTAATATCTTGGATTAACAAAGAATGAACCAGCTGATGGATTCATTGCTGCTATAGTTTAAGTATTGATAATATCTTTCAAACTCAATTTACCTAAATCATACCAATGACCATAATCTGCATGTTATCTTAATAATGCAATAGCTGTTTAAGTATCATATGGATCTAATTAAGGCATATTCAAATCATCAATGAAATATATTAATTTTCCTTTACCTTAAGGTCCAAATTATCTACCTGCTTTCTTTTCCAATTATTATTCTAATTGAGCTTACAAATATGTTGAATCTGTATAATAATTGAAATTGATCAATTAATAAGTAAAATTATCTGGTTGAGCTTTTACAATATCTCTCAATATACCCTTAGCCAATTAAGTTTTACCACAACCGGATTAACCAATCATTAATACTGGTTGTTAAACATAAATAAATTATTTAACTAATTCACTTGTAGCTAAAGTTTCTTTTGTTGGAACTGTGATATTACCCATAACCATTACTTAAGGATCAAAATCTATAATGTACCCCATTTACGTAAATCTTCATTAATACCAGTGAATACATTTGATCTTTTATCAATACCCTTCATATCAATTAAGAATTTACGAAGCTTTTTCACTTCATCTTCCATTTCATTTGGATCAATTGTTGCCCATTTATATCTCTTATAATCTGAGAATTTTTATTCACATTTTTTAATATGTTCCCATAATAATTAAACAGCAGCTACTTCTTATTTAATAGCATCTAAGTTTTTTTAACATCCAACAACTTCATCTGGAAAATTGAACATTTTTGAATAATATTCATAATTTTAAAGTGTTTTTGTAAATTTATCTATTTATGCTTATACTTCAGCAAATCTTTCTTATGAATCTTTAATACCAGTTTTGTATTAATAAAATGTCTCTTTTTTAAGACCTTGTAAATATTCCTTTAATTATTCTTCAAATTTCTTAATCTTTTCTTTTGTCTTATCAGCTTCTTATTTAACTGGACCACTTATATCTTTTTCAACAGTTTATGAAATCTTTAATAAATTTTTCCATTCTTCTTACATTTTATTCACTTTTTTAATTTCTGTTTCTTTTTTCATATCATGTTTTTCTAAGGTTCTTAATATTTATTCATTTTCATCTAATAATAAAAGAATGTTTTCTTTTTCGTCTGAAATCTTTTTAAGATTCTCCATAACTTCTAATAAACTATTGACATCTTCTTATATATTTTTATCTTTGATATTAATATTATCTCTAGATGTATCAATTAATTTATTAATTTCTTCATTCTTATTAGTAACATAATTAACTAATTATTAACCTGTGTATTAATTATTTTTAGGTCCAACACCATCTACAAATTATGCTTTTTTAGGAGCAATTTTCACAAATCAATTCTAAATCTGGTACAACCACTGTAATTGGTCTAAACAATGCTTTTAATCCTTCTGGTAATTCTGCTCTTCCTAAATATCCTGGATTCATTGTAATAAACACACCACAAGTTGGATCTAATGAAATTTCACCTCCTCCTGGGAATAAAAATGTCTTTTTTTATTATTTGATAGCATCTGTGACTGCCTTAAATTAGACTGAACAAACTGATAAGACTTCTGGTAATAAACGATTAAATTCATCAAAACAACCCCAACATCCAGAACTAGCAAGTCCTTTATAGATATTACCCATAGATTCATAATTCATTTCTGAACTACAATTAAACACATAACATGCTTTAGCTAATGCATTAGCCAAATCTTTAGTGGATTCAGTTTTACCTGTTCCTGCAGGACCAGCAGGTGCACAACCCATCTTTAAATGTAATGCTTATGTGGCTGTGACGTAAATACGATCTGTTAATGGAGTAATAACCAATCTTGGACCATTACCCAAATATTCATATGAATAATTAAAAGATGCATCAGCAATTCTAATAAGGGCATCATTATTAACCCAATAGAATTTTAATTAAGATTACCATTAAAATTCATCTGGTTTACGAACATGTTCATCAATCAATTTTCCAATAGTATCTCTAGAATGAGCATCCATTGTAATCAAACACATTAATTTTTATCTTAAAGATTTACTTAAATCACCTCTAACAAATCTAATTAATTCAGTAAGAGCATCAACACTTTTCTTATAATAATCTTTAAGTGCATTCATATCTCCATTTGCTATTTTTGCAAATGCTTCTTCTACTTGAACTGACCACATAATATTATTGACTAATAATGCAATTTAAGCTGGATCCTAATCTATCCATGTTTTTCTATCCATTTATAATTGACATGTCTTAGAATCATAACAACCAAATGATTTCTTAGCTAATTCTCTAAGAGTATCAATCATAGAATCAATCATAGCTTATAAATAAGTTTCAACTTTATTTAACAATTATAAAGGTTTAACTAGAACAACTTCTTCTTGACCAACACATGTAATCATCTTTTTAGCAAATGGTCTTTCATTATCATTTTCTTATAATTCTAATTTATCAATAGCTTAAAATATCTTTGACATATGTCTATTAATTTTTGCAGGTGAATTACCATTAGAAAGGATATCTAATAAATCATTAACACTAACGAAATAGAATCTTGGGAATGCTCTTCTTTTAGAATCCAAAAATTCATTCAATGCTTTTTCACAAACTTTCAAATCAGCTTAGATCTTTTCTAATGATTTTAACATATTTGGTTAAGTACAAAACTTTAAGATTATCTTAATTTAACAACCAGATTCCATAATTTCTTTCATACTTTTATCTATTCCAACAAATTATTCTGATTCTTTTGGTAATTCTTTCTTGACTTCTTCTGATTAAATAAATAAATTTTCTAAAAATGACCATGTCTTTTGTACTTCTGATAATAATTATATAACATCATAAATAGCTCCTAAATCTTATTTCCATTTTTCAACATCCTTCTCAAAGAATTTCACATATTTACTCAATAACATATTATTAACCTACAATTAATGTTCTTCTAATGTTTCAAAATGTTCATCTAACATTTTTAATGTTCTGACATCAGTATCCTTATGTTTCAATAATTCAAATTATACATCTTTCCAGAATGTATCTACTTTGATAATACCCTTCTCCATTTTTAATTCTTATTTAGCTTATTCAGAGATATCTTCAATTTTTTCTCTATAATCAAAAAGTTTAAGATTCCAAATAACATCTAATTCCATATCATCTCCAATAGCAAAATCTTGGTTTACAACAACTTTAACTTCTTTCCAATGTCTACTATCACTTGTGTTCATAGCTGGATCTTTCAATTCAGTTAATAATGGTATGAAGGTACCCCATTTACGTAAATCTTCATTAATACCAGTGAATACATTTGATCTTTTATCAATACCCTTCATATCAATTAAGAATTTACGAAGCTTTTTCACTTCATCTTCCATTTCATTTGGATCAATTGTTGCCCATTTATATCTCTTATAATCTGAGAATTTTTATTCACATTTTTTAATATGTTCCCATAATAATTAAACAGCAGCTACTTCTTATTTGATAGCATCTAAGTTTTTTTAACATCCAACAACTTCATCTGGAAAATTGAACATTTTTGAATAATATTCATAGTTTTAAAGTGTTTTTGTAAATTTATCTATTTATGCTTATACTTCAGCAAATCTTTCTTATGAATCTTTAATACCAGTTTTGTATTAATAAAATGTCTCTTTTTTAAGACCTTGTAAATATTCCTTTAATTATTCTTCAAATTTCTTAATCTTTTCTTTTGTCTTATCAGCTTCTTATTTAACTGGACCACTTATATCTTTTTCAACAGTTTATGAAATCTTTAATAAATTTTTCCATTCTTCTTACATTTTATTCACTTTTTTAATTTCTGTTTCTTTTTTCATATCATGTTTTTCTAAGGTTCTTAATATTTATTCATTTTCATCTAATAATAAAAGAATGTTTTCTTTTTCATCTGAAATCTTTTTAAGATTCTCCATAACTTCTAATAAACTAGTAACATCTTCTTATATATTTTTATCTTTTATATTAATATTATCTCTTGATGTATCAATTAATTTATTAATTTCTTCATTCTTATTAGTAACATAATTAACTAATTATTAACC